TCACATATTACAAACACAGCCCCCGGGCTCTGGGCTTCATCTGACTTCAGCAGATTCTGGGCATCCAGACGTTGCTCCAGTTGGACACCTAGGAAGCCACTTAGTCAAGTGGCTCTTGCTGACAAAGCTTGAAGCTCCAGCTGATCTCTTTGTTGAGTGGGTTCAGACTGATTTGCATTTGAACACTTTCCAGTTTGGAGATTAGATGAATCAAGCAAACTTTCATTTTCACCCTTAGCGCAGAATACCTTTCTTTTTGGATCCTAGCTGGCCCAGATCCTCCATTTCCCTTCTGATGTAAGTTGTTGATCTTGCCTCTATTAATAAAGAGGATTTTCCCCTTCTAGCTGAAGCAGCATCTCTGATTGCACAGTCAAGGAGCTATCCGGAGGGATGGCAGGAGTAGTCCTGCTCGTAGGACTGGTTGTCTCAGTGGGGTACAGAGCAAAGCAGTTGCTGCTCCCCTTGTTACGTTACTTTCCCTGGCTGTTGTCTGAGCAGGGCGAGAAGCTGCTGGTAGTGAAAGGGTGTTCATCTTTGGGTTGTGCTGGCCACACCAGCACACTCACAGTAACAGAGGTGAGAAGTTGGCCTCATGCAAATTCTTCTGAGATTTATCTGTAGATATATTATTGGAAGATGGATAGAGATATAAAACATTGATATAGAATTAAAACAGACCCAGGACTAGAAAAAATCCTTTGGTCCAGCTTAGAACCTGTTTAGTTCCTAAAGAGGAGGCAGTTTCCATCCCATATCCTGGCAAGAAGAGCCTAAAAATATGCTTTGATTTCAGCTAGTTGCTCTTCTGCATGAAGAAAGTCCGTTTTGCCTTTTGCCTCTCTTTTCCAAGCGATGACAGTCACTTCAGTGGCCACTGTTGTACCAGCTACAGGCAGCAAATTCAGGCCAGCCGACTGTAGCCAGAGCTTGTACCGAACCGAGTCGAGGGAGCCAGGTCACACACCGACTGACTGCCTGGAGGGAGCTCAGCTGCATTTTGATCTGCTTTATGGAGGTGTGCAATAAATAATTAACTTCCAAACGATAGTTTTATCATCTGCGCAGCTGGATCAGAGCAGGTCTTAGGAGTGTTACGGACCCACCACTGAGCAGCAAACTTTGTGTTAAAAATCCTAGGTGTCACATTCAGAAAATGTATGATAGTAAGTTGATTTGAAAGGACCATGCCCCTTTTCTAGCAGGGAGATGTTGTTAATGTTATTAGCTTGAGAAATAGATTTTTTTTTTTCCCCTCTCTTGCTCTCTCTTTTTTACTATTTTTTTTTTTTCCCCCCTGCTATGTGCAGCTCTCATGAACTTGGAGCTGAACTGGAACTACTGGCATTGTCACATGTCTTATTTAATTGTGCAAATTGCTTTCTATTCCAAGGACAAGTTAATGTAGAAATGGAAAGGATTAGAACTGTTGGGATACGCGATCGCTCTTTCTTTTAATTTTTGGTTTTAGCATAACAATAGCTACTATTTCAAAAGCTCTGCCCTGTCATCCTTTCATGCAGGCAAAGTACTTGCGTAGGGCCTGAGTCTCCCCTGCCCTCTCCCTTAGGATAGATCCAAAGTCCATTAATCAGCAGTAATCATCCATAAATCAGGTCAATGGGCTCTGGGCTGAGGCTTCTTGTGCAAGCAAAAATAAATGGCACGGGTGGGAAGATGCCATCAGGAAGGAATATCCTTTTAATGGGGCTGGGTCTCTTTTTTGAAGTCACACATAACAAAGAAGTAGCCAAGCGGGGAAAAAATGAACGTATGCCTCCAGGTCTGTCTAAAGACAGTGCAAACACCATAGACTGTCTTAGTAGAGCAAGCACTAAAATGAACGTTATTCCAGCAGCCTTTTAGCCACCTCTTAAATTAACTGTTGAATCAGTGCATAGGGTCGCCTATTACTTGAATTATTGGTCTGTAGCTTGCGTGGTTTTAAAGTGTTTGTGTACTTTTCTGCAAATTAAAGAAACTGCTTTGTTACTTAAACCCATCCAATTACTGCCATGTGTAGGTAGATGTTTTTCAGGTCATTTGCAAAGATTGAGAGCTTGCCAAGCAAACCATTTTCCTTCCTGATTTCTGTTAATATATTAACACAATGGGGGGGGGGGGGGGAAGCAAAACCAGGTGGAAAAATATCACACCCTTTTTTGGTGTTGTGTGTGGCAGTAGGAAGCTGTCACTGTAAAATTGCAGTTTTCTTGTGTAACGTGAGAGATTTTCACTTCTGCTTGATTAAACAGCAGTATGCTGCACTGTGCAATAAGAGCATTTCTGTTGTGTCCGTCGTAACGGAGCAAGTGAGATATCAACAGCATCAGGCACAAGGAGTGCTGGCAGTCCCTGTTTGCATCTCCCATTAGTGCTGGTGGGGGTTTTATGGATGGGTTGAGAGCAGTGCACTGCCGTTAGTGTTTAATTTTTTACAGGTGAATGTGCACCATCTCTGAGTGTAGTTATATGCAGGAAAGATGGGTGACGATAACAGTTCACTGCTATCAAAGTCCAGGAGTGGCTTTACATGCAATGCATCCCCGCTCGCTTGTGCTTGGTTTCACAGTAACTAGACTGGCAAACATACTATACGTGACTTCTGCAAATAGCGTGCTGTAAGTTTTGGAGTGACTTCATACCTGGAAAAAAATATGTCAGTTTTTGAAGGGATGATGTGGATGACTTGATTTGTGCGTTGGACGGGGGAAGAACACTAATACTGTACCAACACGTGGCAGTGTTAGGTTAACGACTGGACTCGAAGATCTTAAAGGTCTTTTCCAACCTAAATGATTCTATGACGCTGTGCCAGATCTCTGCAACAGAAAGGCAGGCAGTTTTTCCTCTGCGCTGGGTATACCTGCCTGTGGTGGGCACTGGTTCTCCTGCGTGGTGGGTTAGGTGGGGGCTCTCCGAACCAGATCTGGCATTTCATGTGGACCTCTCTGGTTTTTGGGTGTTTGTGGGTTGTTGGTTTCGGGTTTTTTTTGAGTGTGTGACAACACTAGCCGCAGGATTTCAGTGCAAGCCTGGTGAATGTCAATTAATTGCTTTTAAACACCTCCTGTATAACAGGTGTCTCTCTGCATTTCCTTCTTCTTTTGCCACCTACCCTCCCTCTGTGAGGCTGGCCAGAGGAGAAGATGCCTGAGCCCCATGGTGCCGTGTGGGGCTCTGCGGAGCCATGGTGGTGCAGAGCTCTGCCTTCACACTGCAGCCGTGCCTTCAGCCTCGCTCGAGCCCCGTGGAGCATCTCCCCATCCTTAATGTGTTTTCACTTGAGCATCTGCTTCTTTTGGAAGTTTAGTTATTTAAAAGGGAAATTGAAGTGACTGGCTGAGGGTGCAGAGAAGAGGGGAGCTGGCTGAAGGGCTGAGGTTGGCGCTTTCGCCTCGGTCTGGTCGTCTTCTCACCTTTAAGTTATTTGTATGCGTAGTTGGCTTCCCACACTGATTGGCACTGAGCGAGTCGGGATAATGTCACGGTTGCCCACGAAGCCGTGCCAGCATGAGAGCACAACCTTGCCAACACAAGGGCATTGATTAGTGCGGAGGAACTAGGGCAATCCAATTATAACCACAAATGCCATTGGCGTTCTCGAATTCTTACTCAAATAACTGCGGGCTCTCTGCTGTATTAAGGTGGTCTGGACTATATCAAGAAAGGGGAATTTGTGTAGGGCTTGGGCAGTGCAGAGTAAACAGAATTCAGTTCTAAAATACTCTATTGCCTGTTTAGAAATAGGGCAAAAAGAGCATTTTTCAGATGGGTACAAACCCCCTTTGCTTTCCTTGATATTAGAGAATGTATTTTATATTTCTTTTTTTTGGAAATGATTACAAAATATCCTAAAAGGAAACTACACAGGAAAAATAGCTGAGAGGTTTCCTATCATTTCAATCTTGTTTGAGCATTGAATATTCCTTTGTTCCCTAATATTATGCTTCCTCTAACCTACTCAGTGGGTCAGATAAGGAAATGTGATATTTTTCACCACCATGACGAAATTAAACTTAAGCTACAAAGAGCGTGAGGGTTGTAGCCTGGAGTCTTAGATGAGTAGTTCAGATCTGGCTTTATATTAAATGCCGAAGCGAACAGTCTCTCATGGATGAATCACATTCAATTAGCTACTTCCTATGATGAACTGATTAAAAATTAAGTGGCATCAAATAAGACTGATTTTGCTCTTACATTTAAATAATGCTATAATTACATACTAATCAGATGGTAAATCTTAATTGTACATGTTCCATATGTTTTATTTGCCTGTTCTCCCTCTTCACTTTGTCGTCTTTGTATCAGCACGGAGTATATTTTCAGGCTGCTTTTATGTTTGGCCTAATTGAATATCAAAAGCAGTATATGTGAAACTTCCTGAATTCTATTCTTTAGCCAGTGGCAGCTGTGCTATTAGATGACCTTTACCATTCCCGTAGCACAGGGGGAATAAAGGGAGGGGGGGAATTGAAGCCCAGCCATGTTATTGTTAGAGACAGAAATAAATCATATATAATTGCTTCGCTATGAAGGCCAAATCCTGCCGTCCTTCATGCCTGAGTTAGAAATACAGGATTTGGACCTTTGTTTCCTGTGGTTTCCTGCCACCTTGGACGTGCCCAGAATCCTCACGCTGCTGCTGCGGTGGCTAATTACCATCACCGGGCTCACGTCACGTTAAACTGAACCGCAGCCCAGGCTCCATCCCTCCTGCGTGGGCAAGGAGATGGCTCTGCTGCAGGAAAGCCTTTACATGAATGTCTGCCTTCAAGTCCCATCGGCTTCCCTAACAGCACTTTAAAAATTAAGAAAAGCCTTAGACGTTGGATTACATGGTGGGCTTCCACATAGTGCTTCTGTTTTAGGTAGCTGTTTGGAACAAGCCTGCTAACTCTTCACTGAAGTGAATAGGTATTTGGCCGTAACATGCATGTGGTATTAACTTTGTTCACTCCAGAATGTACTTTATGTATTTGTCTGCTTTTTAATCATAGATCATGAACACAGTCACAAAAAGAACAAGCGGAAACACTGGAGAAGGCAGTGGGCAGAAAGCAGCCTATTATCTGACGTGGAGATGTTGAAACACAGCGTGGAAGTGAACTCGCTTTCTGCGGATAGGAACAAGACTGGGAACATCAGTGAAAGGAAGAGCCACAAACGAACAAAGCGGTTTCTCTCCTACCCTCGGTTTGTGGAAGTGATGGTGGTGGCTGACAGCAGGATGGTCGCCTACCACGGAGCTAATCTACAGCACTATGTCTTAACGTTAATGTCAATAGTGAGTATTCAACTACAGGGAGTAGATTCACCCACGGATCATTTTCTACTGGTCACAGAGCACCCTTTCTGCTGCGTTCACATGCAATACCATCAGTTTTCCTCGGCCAGGCATGGCTATAATGCTGGGATTAGAGTAAAGCTTGGTAAAACTTGGCTGGGAAGCACTGGTTGGAGTCTTCTTCCTTCCCAGAGCCATGACGTTTCCTAGCCCTTCCCACACCTCTCCCTTGCAGCTTCCTGAACCCCAAGCAGCATGAGAAATATCGCTGGCCCTGTAGTCCACACGCTGTATGCTTCTTTTTATTTAAGCCTATGTAAAATAGCAGCTGAATTAGAAGGGTACTTCAGGGACTGTGTGCCTTCCAAGGGACTGATGATAGTAGGTTCAGGAGCCTGTGGTCACCTTGAACCGTAGCATAGTGCTAGGGTTGGCTTTCCAGGCTGAGGACAAGCATTTTAGTAGCTGCTGGTACTAGGATGCAGTAGCAGAGTCCCTAAAATGGCAGCTCTGTAGATGCACAGTGACTGGAAGTCAGTGTCCAGCATAGCTGTGTCACTGGAGGGAGTTTCATCCTCTTCGAGGGTAGAAGTGCAGTGAATACGTGGTCTAAAACTGTCTGTGTCAAAATGAGGGCCTTGAGAGAATAAGTTGCTTTTTGATAGTCTTGGTCAGTGGTCATTGTATCTGAGCAAAATCGTCCTGTAATTTGGTGAAACATGTGCTAAAGCAAAAGGAAATGTTGGGTTTCTGTGATACCAGCAGGTTTGTTTCATTCTAAAATCGTGCTTCTGGCAGGAGGTCTCTCCAAGGAACATCAGAGCACTGAGTGGGGCAGAACAGCAGCTCAGGAGAAGACCAGTTGCAAAACAGAAAACATGCATGTGTTGTCTTAATTCTTTGTTTCCTTGAATGTTAGCAATAACTCTGAATACTTCTTTACGAAACAGGTGGCTTCTATCTACAAAGACCCAAGCATTGGAAATTTAATTAATATCGTTATTGTGAAATTGGTCGTGATACATAACGAACAGGTAACGAAAGGGATTTTTCTTCTCCTTCTGTTTGACAGTGGCATTTGTAGTGAGCATTGCGATGTGCGATGAATAATTAAAATACCTGCTTTGTGTGTGTTGCTTATTAGGATGGCCCTGCAATATCTTACAATGCCCAGACGACGTTAAAAAACTTCTGCCAATGGCAGCAATCCCAGAACCACCCCGAAGGAAGTCACCTTCAACACGATACAGCCGTGCTTGTTACCAGGTATGGTGAATATTCTCATGAAAACTGTAGCCTGTCATGTGCCGGAGACTGTGAGCATGTAATATATCCAGCTGTGGGAAATATTTGGGTTTTGATGTGGGTGTAATGATATGTGCAATTGCGGGGACAATGTAGCTGTCAGCAGAATTGGGATAATGTGTCCATCATAGCACTAGAGGACTTTGAGAGGTTCAGGACTGTCCGAGGTCTGCTCATGGGTTCAACATGTGATGAAAAACTCTGACTATGGTAGGGAGGTGGTGCAGACTCTCACTGGATGATGTGGCAAACCGGCATGAGAAGGTCCGGTGGAGGACCAAGAATTGCTTTTGGATGTTGTTATTACTGTGCTTGTACCTTATTCACTGCTGCACTGAAAATTAATGTGTTGGGTCTGTTCTGCTTTCAGACAGGATATTTGTAGAGCGCACGACAAATGTGATACTCTGGGTAAGAAAAACATTGTCTTTTAATAACTTTTTTTGTAGTGACAATGTTAGTTGTCTGTGTTGAACCATGGGCAGCGCTTCTTTTTCTATTATAAATCTCTTTGTTCTCTCCTAGGTCTGGCAGAGCTGGGCACAGTCTGTGACCCATACAGGAGCTGTTCAATTAGTGAAGATAACGGTCTGAGCACTGCTTTCACAATAGCACATGAACTTGGCCATGTGTATGTTTTATGTAAATACATTTACATTTAAATAGCCTAAGATTTATGCTAGCTAGGGCTTGCCAGCCAGGCTAGGACTTGGTTCCTGCTGGGCCTAATTATTTGAGAGGAGATAAATATGCTTGGGTAGAAGATGCACCACTGAGGAAGATTAAGCTGTGGTGTGACTCTGGGAGGTGGTGGGGTCCTCCGGAGCCTAGCTGAGAGCAGCAGAAACAGCAGACACACATTTTGGTGAGGGTGAGTGAGAGGGTACCCCAAGCAGCACTTAAGCAAGGGAGGAGAGCTAACAAAGCGTCCCTTATTACTGCATCTTCTCACATCTACGTGCAGATGTCAGCAGGATCTGCCCCAGCAGGCATGAGGTCCTCGCCAAGCTGCTGGGACTAGCCAGGATTTTGGCCAGAGCTGGGAGGTGCTGGGTGCCTCAGAGGGAGGACCAGGGCGAGGGCCATGGGCACGTCTCACCTGGCCTTTGGGACTGAAGTCACCTCCTCAGCCTGCCATGGTTCGTCCCACCACCATGCGTGGTGGTACTGAAGGCACCGCAGCAGCTGTGTGTAAAGGGAGGAATTTACCCAGGGCGTCTGGCAGGTGATCAGGATGTGTGAGTGAGCCTGACCCACCTGCTGAACCATTTCATGAAGGAAAAATCTCGTGCTACTGGACATCCCCAGAAGAGATGCTGTCGCTCAAGATGCACCTTCTCCAATGGAAAATTCTTTTAACTGATTTTGACTCTTTTTGAGAGTGGTAATGAGAAAAATCGTCTTGGGTCACATAGTCCTTTATCTGCCTGCTACAGCTCTTAGGCAGCTTGTTCAGTCCCAAACCACCTCATACCAGGTTTGCAGTGGAAGTCTGTAGGTGTGGGATGGATGATGTTAATACTTGGGAACAGATCTCTCATTGTTTTAAACTCCCCTTTTCTGCATGGAAAACTGGCTGAGATGGTCTATTTTTAACAACAGCAATATTTGTTTAAATGAGATTTCCTGACAGAAAGTCCCCGAAGGTTTGGCGTTCCCAACACCTAACCTGTGGCTAATTCCTTCGCTAATGCTGCCCCGGAGCTGCTGGAGGGGTTAGCGGTGCTCCCGAGCAGGAAACGCCTCTTTGCTCTTTTACAGGGAGCAGAGTGAAAAGGTGGTTCATTGGAGGTAATCTTAATGGGATATCAACTCCCCAGCCTTCGAACGCAGGATCACACCGGGTCATTTCCCCTTCTCCACTTCAAACAGCAAAGCGCTTTAAGCCGTTCTGTCTCCGTTAGCGTATTTGCCGCATTCTTCAATATGTCATGTGCTGCAAACTTCGCGTGGGTTTCTGCTGATATTGATGCTTGATGGCATTTTGTAAACCTGCCACATAAAGTATAGGAGCCAAGTCTATCCCTGGTGCAGCCCTAGTTAGGCAACAGCATGAGGCATCAGCGTGGCCCAAGGTATTCAACTGCATTAGAAAACGGTTTGCTGCCAACGTAGACGACAGACTTTGGACACCAGTGGTCGGTGGGCTCAAGTCATTCATCTCCTTCAGAAACTTGGCTCTTTGGCTCAGTTCCCAAGAACTTGCCATTTTTATGAAGGTGGGGCCGAACTCCAGCCTGCCTGCAGGATCGCAACCGTCAGCTGAAATTGCATCTTACTCCAGGCTCCCTCGAGGACTTGTCTGGCTAAATATGTACAGTCACGGTGGGGAGAGCTTATGGGGGTGCTGTGTAGCTTTTTGCAGACAAGTTCTAGGAACCCAATTTGAGCAATGCTCGTTGACGCTTATGAATAGGTGCATGTGAATACTTTTATTCTGTAATATCTGTCAATGGCATATCTAGGAAAAATTCTTGGCTTTGCTTACATTTAGTTCACCCTGTTGCTCTTGCTATGCTAAGTACTTGACATTTGCCACTTAACTGACTGCACTTCTCGCTGCTGTGTTTCTCTTAGATTTAACATGCCACATGATGACAATCATAAGTGTAAAGAAGATGGAGGTAAAAATCAACAGCATGTCATGGCGCCAACACTGAACTTCTACACCAATCCCTGGATGTGGTCAAAATGCAGTAGGAAATACATCACTGAATTTCTGGAGTAAGGCCTTGCATATGCACGTGTTAGGCTGTTTTTATGTGTGCATGCATCCCACAGGGTTCATCAGTTAATCTGAAATCTTAGTGTGCAGCGTTGGGAGGAAATTGGAGGGATTTTTGTGTGCACGCATCCTTTACATAGAGTGGGAATGCACCCCTGGCATCTGGTCCCTGCCAGTTCAGCCTCGTGATAAGCTGGCAAGGACCAGCCTCTCTATGGGAAAGAATAAGTCTTCCCCCATGGATATTGCTTTTAAGGAATGTGCGTTCTCCTCGAACCTGAAGGGTGAGTTTTCCAAGCCCTCTGGCCCAGATACAGAGCTGTATTTTAGGAAGCAGATTGAATCTGCCTTTCTGCTCCACAGGTCAAGATAAAGCCCTGGCACTAGTCCATGGTGGGAGCACTGTTCCAGGAGCTTGTGGGTCAGTTTGATGCACAGTGATCACCCATTTTGCCATGATGCCTTCCCACGTGACGGGGAGCAGAATGAGACCCACAGGTGTCCTGGCAAATCCAGGAGTGTGGTCCCTTGGGCAGTTGTCATGTTTTAACCCTGGCCGGTGACTAAGCACCATGCAGCCGCTCACTCACCTCTCCTCCTGCCTGGGGGTGGGGAGGAGAGTGGAAAACACCAAACTTCTGGGTTGAGATAAAGACAGTTTAATAGGATAACAAAGGAAGAGAATAACAATAATGACAACAATAAACCAAGTGATGCACAAGTGCAATTGCTCACCTCGTGCAGATAAAAACAACCTGATGCCCAGTGCTCTCCCAGCTTCTTCTGCACCTGGCAGGGCATGAGAAGCTGAAAAGTCCTGGACTTTGTATAGACACTACGACTACCTAGAAACAACTAAAACCATCAGGGTGTTGTCAACATTATTCTCATACTAAATCCAAACCACAGCTCTGTCCCAGCTATTAGAAAGAAAATTAACACTATCTCAGCTGAAACTAAGACAGTGGTGGTTCTACTAATCAATGATTTTTATTTTTTTTTCCTAAATATATACCAATGCTTGCTCAGCAACTAAATGCAGGTCGTGCATGCTCAGAAATGCTTTTGTCGGGGTAGCTGACAGTCATTAGCACAGCACAGGGGTGGTGACACATGGGTAATGAAGCCTCCTACCCCCCTGTGCTTGTTAAATACGGCAAATGCGGTGCACGGCTGCCCTAAGGCTGGCTCGGGTAAACACCAATGGGTTCTAGTCTCATCGCCTCCTGTTTGACACCGGTTTTCTGCTTTGTGTTGTAGCACTGGTTATGGGGAGTGTTTGCTTGATGAACCTTCATCAAGAACTTACACGTTGCCTCAGCAGCTCCCGGGGCTGATTTATGATGTCAACAAGCAATGTGAGTTAATTTTTGGCCCCGGATCTCAAGTGTGCCCGTATATGGTAAGTGAAATTCCACACTTTGGTTTTCCTGGTGTTGCCAGAGCAAAATAAGGCCTCCTGGGGTTGGATGTGTTAATGGGAGGCTCGCTAAGCCATGAAATTATTGTCGAGCTTGTGAGTTAATGCTAAAACCTGGGGGGGTAATTTCATAAAGGATCATCTATCTGGTAAGGCATGTGGCCTGTATTTATTTAATATTTTTGTCTTTTCGATAACTTAAGCAGATGCAGTGTCGGCGACTTTGGTGTATTAACATCGACGGTGCGCACAAGGGATGTCGTACTCAACACACGCCTTGGGCTGATGGGACAGAATGTGAGCCTGGAAAGGTCTGTAATACCTAGTTCGTGCCTTGTAGCTGTGTTTCCCAGGGCTCAGGCTAAGCGTTTCAGTCAAAATTATCCCGTCCCAATGGCCAGTTGTATGGGGTACAGCTGCTGACTGCCAAGGGTGGAAGCCCAAAGCAGCTCTGTGAGTTTCAAGCCTGGTATGCATGGGTCAACTCTACCCTAGATAATGTGATTAAAATCAATTGCTTGGTATAACATTGTTTAAAGCAGGTATTCCTTCTGAAGTGCTTATGTTTTTAAATTAATGCCCTTACGTGAACTCCCGAGCAAAACTTTTGTAAAGCTTTCCTAGGCTTTTATTAGCAATTTCCTTTGTGATGCAAGCCATTAGTAATTTTGCGTAACATAAACTTGCCAACTGGCTTTTTGTCTTCACAACTTCAGAGTAAAGTATAGAACTGGTTGACATTTTCTGTATGGAACAGTTTTGGCAGTAATTCATAGAAATTTTCAATTTCCACATGCAATGTTAGTTTCCAGCTAGCATTGTGGTTTCTAGAATAAGTATTTATTTTTTAGTTGTCCAGATATTGAGAAAAATAGTTGAGAGGATTTATCTTTTTCTTTTATTGAGATACTGAAGCTTTTGAAGAAAAATGCTAACTAGTTTTCATCATTTGTGTCCGAACAAAAACAATCTCCATCTGGGTCTAGTAAAAAAAAGTGTGATGTTACTCTACAAGGTATAGCTTAAAAATTTGCTTTTCTGGCTATTAATGATCAACAGTTAAAGTTTTCTTTAGAAAGAGTCAACATTTTAATTCATAGTCTTTCAAATGTATTTTGATAAAAATATCTGGATGCTATTTTAGATATAATTTTCCATACGGGCTGTGGATCTCCTTGGTAATTAATGGTCTGTTGCATATGTCTGAAAAGTGAATTGTTCAATGACACTTGGCTGATTTCCTTCAAGACAATGGGCATAATGTATCAATTTGCCTTCCTTCCCTAGGGAAAAGCACAGCCAAGACGTTTGTTTTTGTTGTTGAGAATGTGCCTTAGAGATGTGGTTGGAAATCCTATTCCTGTGCTACTCCTTGGAGCCAGTGGTGCACGAATATTTAATGTTTTTATGTAAAATCCCCACTTTTTTGAGACTCAGGATAAAGCTTTTAGGCATCTGTGATTCCCTGTGACTTGAGACCTTGTGTCTTCAACTTCTCCATTGGTGAGCTTGAGGTCTGCTCACCGCTGGAAGCTCAGAAATAACTGTTTTCTTGAAATGCCAAAAATCTGGGCTGCAATTTTGTTTCGACAAACCTGTAGTTACCCTTGAATATGACCAGAGGGATGCACAAAGAACAGCAAGTGAGCACCTCCTCAAAGTTACCCTGTGTCAGCCGAGAGGTGGTCTCCAGCTGCATGGCTCTTAATAACGACCGTGTAAGCAAAAACATTTCAGTCCGCAAATTTAGACAATTTGACAGGTTAGACAAATTAGACAAGTGTGACCTGAACTTCTCAGCTGAGAGCAGATGGGCACTTAAGAAAAGCTAATGCTGTCCGCTTGTGTTCAGGCATTTTGAGGGTATTCTAAAAGAAATGCTTTACAGAGTAATTCTTCTATCGGTGTGCTGGTCTAATTCAAGCTTAAGGTTTGGATCACCATAAACTCTCTCGTCCTCAGTGTTTACTTGGGCTTGTGAAGTGCTGAGGTGCGAGTTTGGAGTGCTGTTCATTGGAATAAATCGCTATTTTGGTACTCCGCTATGGCCAGGAGCCCCATCAAAACTGCTGCTTGCTGACTAATGCCTTGCCTCAAGTCTGTAGGTTTAAAGCCTGTGATATATGGGCTGGTGGATGGAGAAAATACCGTGCCATTTTTTATGGAGATACCTTTGGAAACAAAGGGAGCCTGAATAGCTAAGGAAAATCTAGCTGAAACTGCTGGGGTGTAGATTTAACTGAGCTCTAAATTTATCCTTAAATCAAGGACGCTAAACCAACATGGGAGTATTAGTTTATGCATATTTTGCATGTGAGGACACTGAATTTAATATCGCTAAATCAAGTAATAAGCCCAGCCCAGAGTTTGGCCTTTGCTGGGTAAGCACCAGTCGTGATGGTTTACAGTGTTTCACAGCACCAGTGCGTTGTCGGGTGGAAATAAATCACTGAAAGAAAATAAAGAGGGTCGTAAACTTGGGCCTCTATCTCTCGTGGTTTTCAGGGTTGTTTAAAGAATGGTAAAAAAAAGAGTAGACGAATAAGTAATCATTTCTGTCTCCTGCCGTATGGCAGCAGGTAGCGTATATGTTATGCATGCATGAAGCTTCACAGCACTTGTCTGCCCCCTGCTAATCTATTCAGCCAAAGTCAGCCCAAGGATGGGAGCTGGATTTGGTGAATTATCTGGGACTCCAGTGGCAAGACAAAGGAAAGGAAAGTCTGTTGTAGTGTCTCCCGTCCCTGCCATTGCTCTCCTGCTCGAACTGTGTCTAAGTTATTTTGAATTTGCTCCAGACAAAACCTCTTTTATTCTCTCCACTCTCTGATCTGTAAGCTCATAGGAAAGAGAACCTTGGCAGGCTTTTTAGTTTTTCTGTTGTAACTCAACATAGAAATTATTTTTAAAATACAAAAGGCACGAAGGTTGCACAGCCAGACTATTCAGTGTGGTTCCAAGAAACGCCATTGCATTTCCATAAGATAATCTTGCTGTTTATTTAAAACAGCTGCTCTTTTTTTTTTTCTCCCCACTTTTGATTTACCATCAACTCCAAACCTCAATTTTTAATAAAATCAAGGGATGTAGGTGATTTCCTGGTTAATTCTCAACCATCGGATGGGAGACATATAGGTCATGTCACGGTCTGTTAGCTGTGTACATTCACTAGTTAGCTATTCAATCGTCTTCTCTGGGTCAGTGGTGCCAAGCATGACTGTGGTTATATATTTAGCTGTGAGCATCAACATTGCTGCGAGTTCTCCACTGGGACAGCGCTGCTGGATTGGTGTCATGTATTTTTGTACGTTGATGATAGCTGTCGGACCTCTTTGTCCCTGTACAGGACTGGCAGAGGAGTCCCCATCCTGCAGTTTTTCAACTGTCTAAATGCCAGGAGGCGTTGTACATCATAAGGCTTTGTCCTGCAGCAAAGAAACAGGCATTTCAGCTTATTTTATTCCTGTCCTTTGCTGTAGCTGATAATTTTCAATCAGTTTCTCTCTGGGGAATCAAATCTTCAGATGAAAGTGAATCCAGGACACATTGTAGCCTAGAGACGATGCTCATCTCTGAGCAAACATTTAGGGCCCAAGCTATGAGGTCAAACCATGCCCAAATGCACCTGAGATCTGCTTTCTCCATCAGCAAAGCAATGCGACAACCTGGCCATCGTGGGCAAAAGGTGTTAGACGGGCTGCAGAGCCAGTGTCCCGTCAGCTGGATGCACAACCCCCGTGATAGCTTGATTTTTGCTCTGTTTTCCTAGATAGCTTTCTCTAAGGTGGTTCATAAGGATGTCTAGAAAGGGGAATGAGCTCATGGTGTGTCTTGATACAACCTTGTCCCGCTATTAGTGAAAGCACTGGAAAAACGCAGCCCATCCGTAAATTGAACCCTGTTGCCATAAAGATCGTCAGGTGTTTCCCTGCCTGAACAGCATCTGGTGCAGAAAAATATTGTAAGGGAATATTTTAATGATGCACTACATGTTTTCTTCTTTAAGTCTGTAACCTCTTCTAATTTGTGAGCAATCAGCAATGTTTGGGCTTCCTGTAATTGCAAAGATTTAGGCATCCACCGGCAGATTGAGTGTATCTCTGGGTTTAAATCTGCTTTAGCAAGCACCGTTCAGTGAGAGGGGAGCCCAGCTCTCACGGGTCCTGGGGCACTTTTCCATCCACTCTGGTGGCGCCAGAAGGTGACTCTGCCCTAAATCTCACCTCCCCAGAAGTCTGCATAGTCAAACTAGGACACATACCCCAAAGGGACACAATTTATACCATAAAAATGGAGGATGGGGGCTTGCCAAGATAATTTAAATCAGTCTTCTAAACAAAAGAAAACAAGAGTTACAGCTGGAAAACAAAAGCATAGGCCAGGCCTTGGCAAGTCCCATGTTGTGGCTGGGTGAAAAAAAAAAAAAAATTTTTGGATTGAGGAATTCATTTTTCTATTTTATTTGCCCTTTGGTTTTGGAAGTTTCCTTTTCTCTCTTCTGTTCTGAGGCTTTGTACAGCTGTGGGGAGGTTTGAGTTGTCCCTGGGTTTTTTCCCTTCTGTCTGTCTCCTCCCCTGACACGGTGCGGTTCCTGCTGCTCTCCAAGAAATCAGATAAGCAGCTTTTTGAAAAGCCAGCACCCGAGAATTGCCGTGCTGTTCGGCACCAGTAAACAGGGAATATTCAGTGGTTGCTGGTATCCTCAGTCTTCTTCCCATAAATCACTCCCGTGGACTCTGCAGCTTGCCTTTGCTTGTTCATTTAATGGTGCAGAGAGAAAAAAATACGGGGGTGACAGACAAAAAGAAAAGAAGAAAAGTTTTATTTAATTGCAAAATTTTTGCTGCATTTTTTGAGTGGTTGAGAAACAAGCACAAGTCTTGGCACCCAGGCTGGTCGCTGGTGGTCGGCTTGTAACGGAAAAGCGATGCAAACCCACCTTTCCCATCTCTCTCCTCCGCGCGCAGCACTGCCGGTTTGGGATGTGCGTGCCGAAAGAGCGAGAGGCGCCGGTGATAGACGGAGCGTGGGGGACGTGGAGCCCTTTCGGGACCTGCTCGAGAACCTGCGGCGGCGGCATAAAGACGGCAATACGAGAGTGCAACAGGCCCGAGTAAGTGGATGGAGAGGAAGCACTGGTGGGGGAAATGGGGAAGAGCAGCTGGGTTGCCCAAATGGGCCAAAATCCCCTTTGGCTGTCCCCAGCCCGTGTGCGCTCCGGGGACCGGTGGCTTTGCCGGGCATGGATGAGGCAGCGCGGCAACCCAGGAGGAGCTCATTGCAGGTTTGGTTTGTGGGTAAAGAGCGCTAAAAAGGGTTCTGTTCAACAGAAAGAGAAGGAAAAAGCTAATATCTGCCTGGGTTTATTGCCTCCTGTTTTTGTGGGGGGGCACAGCTGGGGTTCTACTTCCAAAGGTGTTTTTCTTCCTTCAGAGCTGTTGATCAGAAAGGAGAGAAAGGAAGAAGCCATGGTTTTATCCATTTTCTGCCATTTTACCCCTGCTTTGACTGCTTTTGCAGCTGTTCCTACAGATTCTTTATACCATAAAAATGGTTCTCTACCATTTTACTCCTGCTTTGGCTGGTTTTGCAGCTTCTGGCTGGTTTTGCAGCTGATCCTTTAGACAGTTACGTGTCGGCTGGTGCAGACTAGCCAAACCTCAGCAGAAATCTGTGCCCCATTAAAAAGTGGCTCTCAAAAATGTTTGCCGTCAGCCTGGAATGCAAAATCCTTCACCCTTTGAAATGGTAGGGAATTTTGCCGTGGGCTTCCATGAGACGAATGTGTGGCCAGCAAAATATTAGTAATAGGTTGAGCAACTGGTATGAAAACAGCCTGTCTACATAAATTGCGAACTGTGCTGGTTTCTGTTTAACTGTCTCCTTTCAGCCCATGAGAGCAAGAAGGGGGTGGACAGGATGCTTTCCAGGCTCTCATTTGGGACTGAGACACGGAGAGGAGACAGGTCTGCAGAGCTCCTTGGACCAAGGGGTCTTAAAATGTTTGAGCAGGCTCGTTCCACTTTCTCATCATTGGTGTTGGACAGCTTATTGCCAAGGAAGTTGCCATTAGCGATGCACCAGTGACAGTTTCATCACTGCTAATGGGAGAAGGGAGAGCTTGTACCTGCGGCACTGGTGGTGGAGGGACCGGAGAGGCTGCCTCAGCGCGGCTGGGCAAGCGTCGAAAGAGGACAGAAGGGTTGAAGCTAAGGGAGTTGGACACCAGCACGTTAATTAAAATGATGCTGAGAAACACACAGGTGTAAAAGAGTTCTCGTCTCACTGTGCTGAGTCAGCACATGCTATTTGGTCTTCCAGTAGCCATGGAGACACAAAAATAAAATATCTTTCCACATGCAAAAATAGCTATGCTGCTCAACCTTTGGATGCTGTCAGTGAGAAGTATTCCCATCTTCTGGAGAGGCGTCTGTTTGGACTGATAGCTTTTTGTGATAGAAAATCTCCTTTATCCTAAAGGCTAGTCAAGGGATTTTAAATTCCATCTTCTCTCACAGCTTGTGTTTTGTATCTTGATGTTTCATGAGGCGTATTGTTTTGGCTGGGATTTGCAAAAGCACCTAAATATGCTAGGCACCAACCTGCCTGTGAAATCCCCTGCGTTTATCACTAACAGTGGTTATTTTCCAGGCCCCCTTTCAAGAGCCGTGTAGCTGGCACTGGCCTCTTCCCCAGCCCCTCGTGAAGTCTCTGCAGCGAGTCATCTGTCCTAGCACCATCCGCAGAGCTTTACACCCACTCTGTTGTTTTGCCCCCGTAATTTGACATTGTAGCATGGGCTCCCACCATCTGCATCCCCGTTATCACGGGGCTGAGACACTGCTGGGTGCTCTCCTGCCTCTGCTGCTTTTAAAGTACTGCAAAACTATACAGAATAGGTGTAGTCTCTGTTTCTCCTCTGTTGTAGAAGGCAGCAAAACCAACCCAGATACCTTGAGTAACATCTGAAACAGTTTTTATTAAGTCTTTTATATTCAAAGACGGTTTAGCTTATTTAAGATTTTCTTTTTTTTTTTTTGTAGTTTTTATTAAGTCTTTTATATTCAAAGATGGTTTAGCTTATTTAAGATTTTTTTTTTTTTTTGTGCATGAAGATCTGGGGTGGTATCTTGCATGCTAATAAAATATTGTGTTAATTCTGGTATTGAAAATGAACCCCCTGTGCCACAGTACAGAAAATAAGGCTGCAGCTCCTGCCTCTGTAATGTGCTCTGACACTTATGTGGACAAGTATTTTGCAGGGCTGCAGGAAGCTGTAAGCCTCTGCACTGGCAGCAGGCTGTGTTTTGACATACACTGAAGGAATGTATTAGCTAACCAGACCAGACCCTTCCCACCAAGATTGCCCACTTGGGAATCCGAGGCTGGCTGGTACAGACAAAGCCCATGGCTGCAGCGCATCACGTAAAGGGTCTGTGGTGCAAGCTCTGGTTTTCAAAGCAAGGCATAGCTGCAGAATTGTGGGGAAAAAGCATAGTTCATAAGATGTCAATACCAGGAGCCCTGTTTTCAGGAATGGCTTTCTGGATGGGGGAGTGTTATCTCTGGATGCAAGTCTGATCACATCTGCATTTAGTCCATCACAAAAGTATCTACCTGTGCTGAAAGCTGTCTGAGCTTGACATGTAAACACATCTGGAGATAACTCTGCTGGCCACTGGCAGCACATGTACCAGTTCCGGCTCCCAGGGCCTCCCGGGATGCTGCGAAGGAGATCTCAAACTGATCTGCGCACGCTAGAGCTTCACAGCTTTTGCATGAGCGGAGGCGCATAGGCAGACGTGCAGATGAACACATGCACCCCATAGTTAATTCTCCAGGGGCCTTTCCTTGTGGCAGCCTGTGTGTCCCCAGGGCTGAGCACATGCAAAGCACCCCAGAACAGTGCTTCTCAGTGAGGTGTCTGTACCTGCTGCTCCTGGACCGCTGAGAGTTGGGCGCTGCCTTAAGGTCTGCAAGCAAAAACGTTCAAGGTTAGTAATTGCAGATGATGCATTAAGCTTTGTATATGTGAGACCTGTTGGGATGGGAGTGGGGATAAGACCCCACTGTTCCCCAGGCACGTCTGCTGTGTCCTGAGCGTTTCTGACATGCTGGGAGAAATGCAGCGAAGCCAGGGTGTGAGCAGGAGCTTGTGTGGGGGATTATGCTAGATTGAAAGTGGATCCATGCTGGCCGTTAGTTGATCAAATAGATGATTCAGAGAGAAGGGGAATAGAGAACAAGGAGGTTTCTGTGCGTTCACTGCATTCCCTTCTGTCTCTGTGGTACATCATTGGTGATTATCCGTAAAAATATTACGTAGTGTGAAGTATCCCGTATTTCTTCGTGACACTGAAAATCGATGTTATATGAGGCTGACTTATTTCCCAGGGTCAGCTCTTTCTGTTTACTCAGACTCTGTGAAAAGCACTGCTGGTTTAAAAACACCCTAAAACTGTCAGGGTGGTTTGGGGCTATTTTGAAATGTCAGACGTGTGAGTGTGCTTCAGCCCCGAGAGGAGATTTACTGTCACAGTTACGAAGCTGACAGTTTGCAATACGATGGCAAGTTTTAGGATCCTTGAGTTTGTGGTGTGTCCATGTGTTCAGTGTTCTCTCAATCTCGTGGGTCATGTCTAGAGAAAAGGAAACTATACGGTAGCTTGGGATCTTTGGATTTTGTTAGACATACCCTTAAAAAAAAAAAAAGGCTCCTGCATGTTGTTCTTAACTAACTTAATATTTAAAAGTCTCATTTTAATTAAATTGATTTATATTGGAAGCAATGTGATAAAACTGTTGTAATTGCATATTTTTTTTTTTAAAGAAATGCCTTGCTAGAGGTTTGCATAATTTAGAGCCTTTGTCAAACTGCAACAGTCCTGCTGTGGTATAAATGCTTTCAAAATGAAAATGATGAATCCTGTTAACTCCCCTGTGAATGATTTGGGCTCACCGAGGTCTGGACTGTGCTGCTGCTGTCACAGCGAAGAAGTTTCCGCATGTGCTGTGTAGTGAGGTGGTCGAGCCGTCCCTTTGTAGCTGGAGGTAGATAACGTGCCCGCATGGGAATAGTCTGCAGGAAGCGCTCCGGTGGTGGGAACCCCCAGAAATCACTGTTGTCCCTGCGAGGCAGGAGGAGTCCAGGATGTGTCCGCAGGGGCTGCTGCGCTGGGTTTGCTCTGGAGCGGTCACAAATGTAATCAGTTAAATTAATTCAAGTCGTTTGTCACACCAAGGTGGAGAATAGAGCAAATTGGTAGAAACTGGGTTTAGATTTGCTTCACTAGGAACTGACATGAAATAAATCCATAAACTGAAATCTGCACCAGGCGCTGTGCGAACGCTTGGGCTTTTTATCGCTGTTACTTGCTTAATTGCAAACACCAGAAACCTTTGCAAACGACACACGTTTAGTTTCCAGATGGCATGTGAGAGTCACCCTCTGAGCAGGTGGAGCTGATGTTACCAGCTATGGCTCCAGGCTGTGCCTGAAGACAAATCATACCCCTTGGAATTTAGCATAGAACTTGAGGCGTCCGCCCCATGGCAGTGCATGTCTCGAGGAGAGGATGCTGGCAGGAAAAATCCCATGTGTGTAGCTGGTCTGCATCTCACCCGTGGCTGCTGGAGGAGACAGGTCCTTCTGCCAAACCTGTGAGCATCCCTAGGATGGTGCTGGTGGGGTGCTGGGAAGTCTGCCTGCCCTTCCCTACTTTGCAGGTAGTCTCTAGGCAATTGCAAGCCCCTCTCTGTGCCTCTGTCTCCCAATTTATCTCACAGGAACTCTGCTACTTGAGTCACAAATTGTTTTCAAATGTAAGAGTGAAGAATTGTTATGTGTGGGAGAACAAGCACTGCTGGGCTTCATAGGTGGTTGATGTGCCTGTGCTTCAAGAGATGCCAAAAAAAATTGTGTTCAGCTGTAGGAACTTATTGACTCTGTGTAGAGATGCTCAAACATGTGCAGGGGTTTTCTGTCTCTGTTATGTTAGGAGATGCTGACTGCATTCAACCTGGAGGGTGTACAGTGGGCATCTCCATGCTAAGGGCAGGGATGGTTCCTGTTCATCACTCAGTTCGTGTTTCGGGAGGTCTCTCGAAAGCAAACCAGCTTCCTGAGGCAGGTGCTCTCTGCCAGCACCCCTGGGGTGCTGTCTGTCCCGGGGCAGGACAGAGCCCATCCTGAAGACAAGCACTGAAAGGCAGGAGGCGTGAGTGCAGGACTTGAGCACCTGGCGAGTCGCTCTTCTGAGCTGTGCTCCTTGCTAGTGCAGGCGTTCTGTTCAGAAGTTGGGTAGGAGGTGTAGGTTTCGTGATTATTTTGCAGCAGAAGCTGGGCACAGACATTGTCTTGAGCTTCGAGGGCCACTCTCTGACTCTGTACACGCACCCCAGCATGACATGGTCAGGACACAGCAGCTCCAGGTGCTCGGGATGCTCTTGCCCTCCGCTGACTCCTCTGAAGCAGCCGGTTAAAGGGAGAGGCTGGGGCTGACCTCAGCCGGTGGCGGCTTTCCCGTGCTGATGGCTGGGATGCACATTAAATTCATCTCCCTTGAGTCCAGGTCTTAGCTGGTATAATTTTTCCTTTTTGGTTAATTACAGATTTCCCAGGGTTGACCCTGCCAACATTTCAATCGGATTGCAATATCTTTCCTTCTGTAACATTGGAAAAGCAAAGCTGCTTGGGTGGTACTGCAGTGTTTATTATGCATGTTAATGGCGGTAGCTTGTAGAAGCCTCCACCATGCCCTCCCAATTTCATTTGAAGTTTCAAGAGAGAGCAGCAGAGATGGTTGGGGGGTTTCCGGAACATTTAAAGCCTGGTGCATCCTTTTTTATTTTATTATTACAATTTGTTATATACATAGAAGGCTGCACGTAAATGGCCATATGAAACCTTACCTGAGTTCCTAGAAGAAATGTCTGTTGAACAGACAGTAAATAGGATAGCTTGTATCCCTCGCAGCATTACCAAAGCTGAAAATGAGTCCTCACCAGAAAAGTGCCTTCCGCTGGGCTCCTCCGATGCCATCTACGAGCCGCTCGCTCCTGCGCCGCTGCTGACAGCGGCTGGAGTGGGAGAGGCTTTTTTGGTTCCCGAAGTGAACTGTTGTCTGGCAAAGGCTCCATCTACGTACGAGGACAAAAATAGTTTTATGACTACAGTCCTGAATCTGGGAGTTGGGAGATTCAAAATGACAATTTCTCCTAGGCTTATCCACTGGCTTTGATGTGGTTTGGATGATACCGCACTCCCCAGTTTATACCAGAGTCATCCTATTATAAAATGGGGGTGAAGTATTTATTGGCCATTTGGTGCTTTCTGGAACATGTGGAGATAAAGTTCTTTAAAAGTGTCCAGCACTACCATTTCTACCATTTTGGGCTATAAATCCCGAAGAACTAAGTGCTGCCTGGCCTTTCAGCCTCCACGGGGAAGCTCTTTCTCCTTTCTGCCGTGATGTTTAGTTATTTGCAACCCAGTAGATCAGATGCAAACTCTCAGCCACCAAATCCATAGGATTGATGGGATTGTGGAAGGATGGTCCTGTATGGAATCCCTCAGTGTGATGTTAAATCCTCAGGGAGGAAGGTGTTGCCTTTCCTCTCTGGCTTCTCTCACTACAGCTGCATTCATCAGAGAGCAAACACTCCCTTTTTCATCCCTTTTTAGCATCACATGTATGGTCTTTTTTTATTAGACGCTTGCATAAACTTTCCTGCCGTGAGCCTAGGATATCGATTAAGGACACGCACACAGACAGTGCCCACAAAACGGTGTCGCAAATCCCGACTGTGCTGAACAGGTTGCAGAATTGCAATTGCATCTCGTTTCCAGCCTGATCTTGTTTCTACAGGCCTAAAAACGGTGGGAAATACTGCGTGGGTCGTCGCATGAAGTTTAAATCCTGCAACACTGAACCGTGCTCAAAGCTGAAGAAGGATTTCCGGGATGAGCAGTGCGCTGACTTCGACGGGAAGCACTTTAACATCAACGGGCTGCCCACGAACGTGCGCTGGGTTCCCAAATACAGCGGCAGTAAGTGGCGGGGGGGATGCAGATCCTGCCTACTGCGTCACCGTGTCGGGGTGGTGGCGTTCGGATAACGTGCTTCTGGTTTTCCTCCCTCCCCTCCCCAGTCCTGATGAAGGATCGGTGCAAGTTGTTCTGCCGGGTGGCGGGAAATACGGCGTATTACCAGCTGCGGGATCGCGTCATCGACGGGACGCCCTGCGGCCCTGACACGAATGACATCTGTGTGCAGGGCCTTTGTCGGGTAAGTATTTTCCCTTCTCTTTAGCGAGGGTGATTGCAGTTTCGCGTGGCAGGCTGGCACTTCTGCACCTTGCTCTGCCTGGTCGTTGGCGTGCCCTCTTCTCTTGGGGGCTGCCAGCAGCACCCACGGGCTCCACGAGCCACGGCTGAAGCTTGCGGCAACCTCCAGGTTTGCAGAAGAGCCGCGCGTGGAGGGTGGTCGTACATCTGCCCGAAGTTACTGAGCCTGAATCCAAACGATGCTTCCTTTGGTGCTCTGCCCCAGTTCTTCCTGGTCAGACCCTTTGCTTTTCCATTCACAATTATTTTTCACACTTTTCTCTATGGGAACAACCAACGCAAGAAGTTTTCTGTAGCGAGGGCATCGCCCGGTGCAAATGGCAGTTCTGATTCTCACTTTGTAAAAAAGCCTTTTATGTGAAAATGGTGTCGGATGGCCACACTGTAAATCAGCAGAAAAACGTGGGGAAGCAAAACAATTTGTCTCACGGCAGCCTTTTGCATGCAAAGCTTTTGTGTGCCTTAATTGGGAGGTTTATAAATGCTGTTCTAGTCTGTATTTGCTCAATCTAGTTTTTTTCAATTTCTCTCTTAAAGCAAGCTGGATGTGATCATGTGCTGAATTCAAAAGCAAGGAGAGATAAATGTGGTGTTTGTGGTGGGGATAATTCTTCATGCAAAACTGTTGCGGGCACATTTAACACGGTGCATTATGGTAAGAATCTGTTGCTAAAAACTTTATAGTGAAAAATGTGCGTCTATAAAAGCCATTACCACACTTAATCTACAAAAACACTGATGTAAAATGCAAAATCCTTCTAGCTATAGCATATTCCATTTTATAACTATTTATGCTATCCCTAAATGAAAAGTATTGGCTTGTGTAATGTGAGGTAATTTTGCTCATTTCCCATCCCCCTGTAAAAAGCAAATGAAATGTCTGTGTAATAGCCTTGACTTTCTATTAAATCTTTTCTAGGCTATAACGTTGTGGTCCGCATCCCAGCTGGTGCAACTAATATTGATGTGCGTCAGCACAGTTACTCAGGGAAGCCAGAGGATGACAACTACCTGGGTGAGTTGCAGTCCTTGTTTCAGTCCAGAACTCTGCTTTATTGTCTGGTTGTGGTGATATATCTACTGGCTGCTCTCTGCTAGGGAGGATGAAGAATTTGTTGAAGGGAGATATTTTCTTATTGAGAATTTCTCTCATATGTCTACCAAACATTCAGCCTTATCTTGCTCCTTCTTTTTGTTCATGCCATCCTTGATGCAAAGTTTGGGAGGCTCTTAGATTACGAGAAATATCCCCTTAGAGTATCTCTGGGCTGGGAAGGACTGTCGAGCCTGGGCTGTGGGTGGGAGCTAAGGTACTAAGCTGGGAACCAAACAGGCTTCCGAGTTCTGCTGGAGTCTTCTCATTGCAACTTAACACGTCTCTGCTGTCACCATGCCTTGGCTGGAGAGTAAATATGCCATACCCTGCCTGACAATGATATGTAACTGTAATGAAATACCCTGCGCCAAAGATGTTGGTTTGATTTAAACCTAACAAAAACTTGGCCTTTGGCTGTTGGACATTCGTAGTCGCTGTTTTTTCTAATCTGTGGGTATGTCTCCAGAGCCAGGTGAAAATGCTTGCGGTGTGCGTTAGACCAGTCTGCTGCACGCACGTATGCTTTTAGCACGGCCACGTGTCTCTTCCACCATGCTGATCAGTAATTCACCCCATAGAGAGTTCTGTTTGGGTTCGATAGCAGCGATAACCAACAGCACGTTACGACTGATGTTACACCTGCCAGTTGAAGGCTGGTTTTGCCATTAAGCCCTGTTTGTGTCCCTCGGAGTCTGTTCAGGCCACTGACGGAGCAGGGAGTCAGTCTGTGGCCCCTTGCAGTCCCAGGGAGATGTCTGCTCTCCCAGCTCTGTTCCTTCTCTCTGCACACCCCATGCCTGGCAGTGCCAGCTGCACTCCGGTAGCGTGGGTTCCTGTATTTACATCCCTGAGCAGGGCACTTCGTCTTGTTTCATCTCACAAAAACCCCTGAGCTACTGTTTTTGCAAAATATTGGGCTTAGCCTAAGTGCTTGCTGTAACCGGGTATGTTAAAAACGGGACTAGGCTGGTGGTTCCTACACCATCAAAGGTAAAGGAATTCACTTGAGAAACAAGTAGAGGAGACTATCATGCACCAAAGGGAAACGGTGCTGACAGCTTTGGCTGTTGCTCTGAAATGCCACCCATGTGGCTGGACCCTTCATTCCAGCAAAAAGCTGAGCGGGTCCTGCCCCGTCCTCATTCCCAGACTGGGGTCGTGCAAGGCTGGCTGTCCCGGCACGCACGCGGCTGTTCACTTACAGCCACCTTGCATCCTTTCTGCACGTTCACAGCAATGAAATGAGATGGTGCAGCATGAAGGCCTGCCTAAAGGGGCCTACAAGAAAGCTGGAGAGAGACTGTTTAAAAGGGCAAGTGGTGATAGGACAAGGGGTAATGGCCTTAAGCTGAAGGAAGGTAGATTTAGATTAGATATTAGGAAGAAATTCTTCCCTGTGAGGGTGGTGAGGCACTGGCACAGGTTGCCCAGAGAAGCTGTGGATGCCCCATCCCTGGAAGTGTTCCAGGCCAGGTTGGATGGGGCTTTGGGCAACCTGGGCTAGTGGAGGGTGTCCCTGCCCATGGCAGGGGGGTTGGAACTAGATGGGCTTTAAGGTCCCTTCCAACCCAAACCATTCTATCATTCTATGAATGCACATCAATACCAAGAAAACCTTACTGAGTTTTCGATCCTGTGGGAGGGAGGTATGTTTCATTATTCATCTTTTCTAGAAAAACAGTCCTCCCTGTGTTGTGCCTATTCAAACTGGTTCACCCCAGAAGGAGCCCCAAAGAACTTCTCAGCTCTTCTTGGAGGGCCTTTAATCTTCTTGGGAAGCAATGAAGTCAAATCATCTTTAATGTTGCTTTAATATTGCTGGGAAAGCATCTCTTCACATTAGGCCTGACTAGAAGCAAATGAGAAGCGTGCATGTGTCCACTTATTTTGCAGCTCACTGAGTGTGAAATCTTGGGCCCTCGGTACTGTGAACCTTGTAGTTGCTTAACAATTTAGGAGGAATTTGATGTTGTCATCAAGTCCAAGATGTGTACCTACTGTTGTAGGAGATACAGTAAACGGGAATGAATCCTTTAATGAGTTTTACTACTGCCTAATGTCATTAAAGCCTCCAAAGTGTGGAATTTCGTTGAGTATAGCGTCTGCTTTGTGAGTTTTTCTCCATCTATTTCTTGTTTGCTACCAAGCATGTTTTGTTTCATTATCTCTCCTCATTCGGTGTAAAAACCTTCCCTTTGGTGTTTTGGTGTTAAGTTTAGAATTTTCAGTACAGAGGCTTTGTAGTAATGTAGCTGTGATGGGTGAAATGGTGGGGAAACTAACTTAGGAAATTAGCTACATAATCGCATTAGTGTGAAGTTGTGCAGCAGACTGCTGTTTTCAGGAAACTGTTCCTTTTATAAAGCATTTAGGCTTTAAGCCTTCAGTGCTTTCACATACCTTAAGATTTGGAATAATAAAAAGTACAGGGGGGAGGAGGGGAAGGGAGAGAGAGGGGGGAGATACTGACCAAACTCCCTGTAATTATCTACTAGAAAATGACATTTGGGCAATTAGGGTGCATGCGTTTACCCTAAGAACACACCTGGAAACAACAGGGAAGCCACCCTACCTGCACAGCTGACGAAAAGATTTGGGCAGGGTTATTTCTGCGGTATGTGAGGGGATACAGACGGCGTGTTGTGCGTACAGCGGCCGGCCCGCCATGCCTTCTGGGGATGTCTCTGCCCTGGGTTATGGGTGAACTACTGAACAACAACTTCAGGCGTTCAGCCTTCGTTTTAATGAGGCTCTCCGGTGGGAAAAGGAGAAGGCACGATGTCTGTGAGAGCTCTGCTGCTCTCTTTACATCCTTTCTGTTTGAGAGTGCCGGTGGGCTTTTCCTCCCACCCCAATGAAAAGGAGCACTGAGAGCGCATGACCCACGTTATTATGTACGTATGAGTTAATTCTGCGTCTTTAGTTCTTGTTTTTTGCACCTATGCAGCCTTATCTAACAGTCAAGGAGACTTTATATTAAATGGAGACTTTGTCGTCAGTATGTTTAAAAGGGAAATCAAAGTTGGGAATGCTGTGATCGAATACAGCGGATCGGATAATACTATTGAAAGGATTAATTCTACAGATCGGATTGAGCAAGAAATAACGCTTCAGGTGAAGTATATGTTGTGCGTGTGGAAAAGTCTGCCCAGCATTGTTGGACTGAAAATGGTGAGCAGCAAAGTCTGTTGGTTTACTCTGCTTCATCTTTTTTTCCCTCAGGTTTTATCAGTGGGTAATTTGTACAATCCCGACGTTCGTTACACATTTAATATCCCCATTGAGGACAAACCTCAGCAGTTTTACTGGAATGCGTACGGCCCGTGGCAGCCCTGCAGTAAGCTCTGTCAAGGTGGGTGCTTGGGAAGGCTTAGTTCTGTCCTGGATCCGTCTGGGATCCGGGCAGTGCTGTCAAGTCCCTCTCCATTTGATTTCTTTGAGATTCTCACGTTATGGGTGTGATTGTTTCCCTGGGCTGTAGTAACAGATCAGATCATACGAGGTGTAGTGCTGCTCTGCTGCTTCTCGGTTTCAGAGCGGGGCACCTTTACAGCCCCTCTGAGCCAGGTAAGCCCTGCAACCTGGTTTGCAGGTGGGGAAGCTCAAGCACAGAAAAGGTGACGTGGCATTTCCTAAGGCTGCAGAAGGTATCGGTGTCTGGTTTTGGGTCTGGTGTCGAGTCGTTCCCACCTGCAAAACACGCAGAGCCCGTTCTTGCAGGCGTGCAGGAGCTCTCTGCCTGCGTCCATCTCGTCTGCATCAAACCCCCTCTGCTCCTCTTGGAGAGTCTTAACCCCCTCCCTGCATCTCTTCTGAAAGAGACTTAAAAGCATAATTAAATGTCTCTTAAGTGCTACTGTAAAAGGAGTAAGAGAAATAACTGGTTTGATCGCTCTCCTGTGTGACTCAAACAATGTGTGGTTGGTTTTTTTCTGCCTAGGGGAACGAAAAAGGAAACCCGTGTGTACGAGAGAGTCGGATCAGCTCACAGTGTCGGACCAGCGATGTGACCGGATTCCCCAGCCTGACCCCATCACTGAGCCTTGTAGCACGGAATGTGAATTAAGGTGCACTCTACTCAGCCGCGTATATACATTACATCGTATACTTATTGTTTATTCCTCTTTCCTTTCACCTCTCACCATAATTCCTTTTCTCACCAGCCTGTATTAGATTTTAAAAAAAGAAAAGGATTAGCAGTTGCCTCTTTGTCAACTGAGAGGGATTGACATCTACCAGCTGTGTTTTGAGAGGCACTTTTCTACATTTTTGCATTTCTCTTATTGGATTAAATTAGCGCTGACTACAAAAAAAAAAATCATCTAATGTTGAAAAACCTACCTGTGCAATATAGTGCCTGAAATTCGTATCTGCCTGGATCGGAAATGCTCAGCACTGTCCCAAAAACAGTCTGCAAAGAGAGAAAAAAACTCATATGCTCAAAGCAAAAGAGTAACTAAGACTTGGATTTATCGTCATTTGCTTAGAGCGAAGAATAGGCTTAAGAGTAGAGCAGGTTTGGGGCTGTCCCCAGACAACTCCTGGCGCGCTGGAATTGATGGAGCATGACCTAAATAATCACAACCCATTTTCCTTTAAAAAGCAATCTGTTTTTCTTTCTGGAGCTTAAATATGGTAGAATTAAACGGCTGCTGGTGAAGCAATTCAGATGGCCGTGTTTCCCAAGGGGTTTCTCTGGCAGCGTTAAACCCAGGCCGTATAGGGGCTGTATAGGGGCTGTAGGTCGGGTTGTCGCGGTAACAGCTGTTGCCATTGCAACAGGTTGGAAACTTGAGAAGGGCAAATGCAGGACTTTGAAAAGCAGGCAGGGATGCGAGGGCTCCCACCATTCAGCTATTGACTCCAAATCCCCTTGATCTTATTCTTCTCCGAGCCGTGCTGAAGTTTGCTCTCTCGGCTTAGGAGCAGGGCTCCGCGGTCCCGGCACGGGCGCTTCTAACAGCCCCGGGGTCCCCAGGACCTGCCGGGGACATCACTGCCCCCTTCCCCAGGGCCACCCCAGCGAGGTGCAAGGGGCAACCGGCTCCTGATGACTCCAGGGTCTCTGGCATCTCCCTGGATGAGACCTCGTGTGCAGCACCTCTTGCCAGAGCTGGGGCCAGGGCGGATGTGAAGCAGGGGTGTATTGAGGTGGGTCCTTGAGGACCACCAGCACGGGCCCTCGCTGCCCATCTCAGGAAGGAAGCACCAGGATGGGAGTCTGTCTGTCTGGAGAGAACATCCCTAATCCCCACTGACACCTCTGAGGATCCTGTGTCTTGAAGCAAATCATTTGCTCACATTTCAGAGAGCTGAAACAGTTTTAGAGGTGTCCTGCCCTGTGGAGTGCCTCGTCACATCTCTCAAGCCTGTGTGGATCGTTTTCTGACACTGTATTTTTCATTTTTCATTTTGAGAGGCCGAGGTGGCACTCCTGCAGCAGAACGTGGGGTGGAGAGCCTTCAAAGCGCTGCTCCTGGCTTGGCCACGGACTGTCCCTGCAGCCTCATGTGGTCCCACAGGCTCGCAGCCTGGCTTTGCTGCCTGGAAGGGACCTGGTGACAGTTCCTTCCCCACAAGGAGCAATGCCAGCATTAACTGCTTCATGTTTTTGGAAACCACAAAGCATTGGGAACTACTATAAAGAACCAGAACTTTCAGCTCAAAACCATATATTCCTTATTTACGTCAGACATCCCCGAGCTCCTTACCTGCGGAGTTCCAGAGCCCCGCAGCTCCTTCGCCTCCTCCGATCCTCTCCAAGGCAGGCGCCTTCACGTGGGGTCGTGTGTTTGTGCCGCACCAGGGCTGACGTTTGCTGTCCTCTGCTCAGGTGGCACATCGCGAGGAAGAGCGAGTGCACGGCCCAGTGCGGGCTGGGGTACCGCACCCTGGAGATCTACTGCTCCAAGTACAGCAGGCTGGAGGGGAAGATAGAGAAGGTCGACGACCGCTTCTGCAACAGCCAGCCCAAGCCGAGCACGAGGGAGAAATGCACTGGAGACTGTAACGTGGGAGGGTGGCGGTACTCGGCCTGGACCGAGGTAAGGGATGCTCGGTGGTACGGCAAAGTCTCCTCCTTGCGCAGGGGTACGTCAGGCTGTTTAGTTTGCAAACAGCATGTATATAAAAGTTGGCCACAGTGATTCTGCTGCCATTGCTTTTTCTGGAGGACACTGTAGTCCAAATCAGCCTGGTACTCCTTATTTTCCACTGCAATTAATTTATGCTTTTAAGGATCCCAAGTTTTGTCTTCATTAGGCTAAGCCCTGCTCGCTGTCTTCTCCCATCAAAGCCAGCACCGCTGCCAGGAGTTGGGGAGGACATATTACCATCAGCAGAGGACTTCTGAAATTAGTTTCCTTTACACTTTTTAGCTTTTCCATGAACAAGAAAATTCCTGACTGCAGACTGGGCACAGAGAGAATGACAAGCCTGGGACTTTCCAGGGAGGGCACCATGATGGGGGGCTGGCTGGTTAGAGGGAACTAATCTCTCCTAAAATGTGAACGAGCAACAGCCGTTTGGGAGAACTGAAAGGCAATGCTTGTAAGAGTAATAATGGGGTTATAACCCAACATGAATTTGTGAAACTCATTGCTGCGAGATTTTATTAAGCTTACCAAGATTGGCTTTTTAAAGGAATATATAAAGTAACAGCCTATTTCTTAAAGCACAAATTGTTCTTCTGGAGGTTTTCTGCAGTCTCTTCACAGTCCTGACTGCAAAGAGGGAGAAAGCAATCCATGGGCTCTTGGTCCGTAATAGCGTGGCAGAAGGTATTTACTCAGTGTCTCTCCTTCGCAGTGCTCCAAGAGCTGCGGTGGGGGCACACGGCGGCGACGAGCCATGTGCGTGAACACCTACAATGACGTCCTGGATGACAGCAAGTGCAGTCAGCAGGAGAAGCTGACGGTGCAGCGATGCAGTGACTTCTCGTGCCCCCAGTGGAAAACTGGTGACTGGTCCGAGGTAGGTGCTGGTCACCAGGGTGGGCTCACGCTGCGGGTCCTCCACCCTGAGGGGCTGGTGCCTGCAAAGAGAAATCTCTGTCCCTGCTTATGCCACATGTTTTGTTTGTGCCCCGGGCCGTGGTGGCACCGTGCCTCCTGCAGAAGGTGTCCCCGAGCCTGCGCACAGGGAGGCTTGAGACAGGCAGCAAAGTCACTGACCTTATCACCGCTGGTCAAGTGGTCGTTTCCCTCCCTGCAAAGCTACCGGAGGTTAATTCATCTCCAATTCTGCAGTAATTTCTTCCCAGTTTTTCCACGGTTCCTCTGCACCTTTGGGAAGAAAAAACCCTTCTGCCCTCATTTTCCCCTGAGATTGTCCTCACGAGCCCTGACAGCTCTGGCTGTCGCTGGAGGGCAGGATTTCACCCTACTAATATCTTGCTCAGCCCTGTCCTTGCTGTTTATTACCATTACTTCTTCCACTGCTGCTGGTGTCCTTTGCAATTCAACAAAATCATATCTTGATAGGCTTTTCCCTGCAGCAGGACTGGGGATGCTGGAGAACAGTCTTCAAAGGCTACTTGTCACCTTTCTGGCCAAATAGCCCTCATTTCTGTGAATCGCATTTTTTTAGGAAATGGTGAAAGCAATTAAGTGGGAACAGGGATTGTTCTCTGCAAAACATCTGTCTTCTGGGTTGAGCTGCTGGCAGCCCAAGCCATGCTGGGGCAGTGGAAGAGGCGGGTGGTTGCAGCCCATGGAAGCCGAAACCCTTATTGCATGGACTTGGAGCCAAACAAGTTTTTTGCAAGCCTTTGGCACCCCGCTGTGCACAGCTGAAGCCCTGTCGGGCAGTGCTGTGGCTTTACCCAGTGTCTCACAGCTGCTGGAAGTCAAGAGCCTTCGTGGTCTCACTTTGCCTGTGCTGAAGGGTCCTAGCCTGGCTTTGTTCTCCATTGCTCCATCCTCTGCTCTGGACCAGCTCCTGAGAGCAATCCTGTCTCGTTGCAGGATACTCGTGTGTTTTCCAGCACGCGTGGTCATTAGCTAAAGAGCCACCTCTCCGCACCAGCTTTTAAGCGGTGGTTGCAGCAGCTCTCCAGGTTTATTATTCAGCGCCGGGGCAGGTGCTGAGCTGGCAGCGCGACCCCAGCACCGCCTGAGCTTGCGTTTTACTCCTCACAGTGCCTGGTCACCTGTGGAAAAGGGCACAAACACCGCCAGACCTGGTGCCAGTTTGGAGAAGATCGGTTAAACGACAGGTTTTGCGATCCCGAAACGAAGCCGGAGTCGGTGCAGACGTGCCAGCAGCAGGAGTGCGCTTCGTGGCAAGTGGGGCCGTGGGGCCAGGTACCGCAGGGCCGCGGGGCTCCTGGCCGGTGGGACCTGGGTGCTGGTGGCCGAGGTTGGGCGCTACCCTTTCATCCAAATTCAGCCGCATAACTGTGTTAATTGATTTGCACACCAAAGCAGCCCTCTGTTCGCTTGGGTTCAGCATATGGGCAGCAATAACAGTACCTGCCCTTTGTGCTAAATTTAATCTGTGTCACACTAAATTGGCCATGATTTAAAAAAAAAAAAAGGGTTTCCAAGGTTATGCTGCTAAATCCATATTTAGACATGTAAATACGTGGCCTAATTTTCACAGAAAAGCTGCTCCCATTGAATAGCTGTTGTTGCTTTTAATGTTTTCCAGTTTCTGGGTTGGTGAGGGATTTTTTTTCTGTTAAAATACAAGTTGCTCTTTTCTCCTGGAGTGTTCTGGCATCTCCTTTTCCACAAAGCTGTTAGCTCTTGCCTTAAAAAAAAAAAAAAAAAAAAAGGCAGCAAACCCAGACCAGTTGTCCCAGTCAGACTTATTTCCCATCAGCAAAATTATTCATTAGCTGCTTGTGCTACCATGGGGCTGAACAACCAGTTTTAAAGGAGGATATGATGCAGCTTCTACCAGACTATGATTTACTGTGTGCAGCAAAGTAAATCATTTAGATGCTCTCACCTTCATTCCCGAGGAAGCAAGTGAAGCGTGTGAGGCTCTGGTGGGTGCAGTGAATTAAAACTTTGACCTAATTTAAAGCTGAAACGCATGAAGTGGAGAGAAACCAGAAGGGAAGCTGGGTTTTATTTTTGCTGCTCATGCTGCGTGCCTAAACACAGGCTGGGCTGATTAATACTTTCTAACCAAAGCAGCTACTCAGACCCAGCACTTCTTTCTCCCGTTTGTCCTCTCCCAGTGCACGATGACCTGTGGCCAAGGCTACCAGATGAGAGCGGTGAAGTGTGTCGTGGGCACCTACATGTCAGTGGTGGATGATAACGAGTGTAATGCTGCAACCAGGCCAACAGATACCCAGGTAAATCCTGCTGTCCTGTCTCCGTCTTTTGGCAGCGTGCGTACGGAGGCCTCCAGCCTGCAGCTTCAGGGGATGTCTTGCTACAGCAAAGGCTTGTCCTGAATGCCAGCCCATGCAGAGCAGTATCTTGGTCCTCTAAGAGCTCAGGAGGTAAAGCAGCAGCAGTCAGTGAAAATGGGAAGACAGCCAGAGAGTAAAAGAAGGGGTCTGCCTCCTTTGGCTTGTGCAGGGGCTGGGATGCCGGGCTGCAGTCTGGGCTCGCTTGGCTGCAGGACCATTGGTGTGTGATGCTAACAACAGCTAGGGGCCATCATTTCTTGTGTGCTGCACTGGACAATATAGCGTATGTGCCAGCTACAATTCCAGACGTATCCCACCTGGCCGGATAAATTGAGAAAAGTTGCACACCCTTTGCAAATTTGCTGAGGAGGCTTTTACCGAGCTGTGGTCACTGGTACTTTGAAGGAAAAGTCCCATTTCAAGCAGGGGATGCGTCCATGGTGTCTGAAGGAGCTGAATAAAGCAGGACATTACCATCTGTCTGTCATCTAGGGAAGCTGTAGTGCTGATGCCCAGCTTCAGTCCTACGTGACTTCACAGAGTTTAACTAAGGCCACAGCATTTAGGAAAGGGCTGGTTTTCCCATGTATGGAGACCAATTGCACTATAGTCAAGGGGTAACAAACCCACTTGTCATCAGCCATCGCTTGGCATGCACATCTCCAGTCTAAGTAAAGTCACAGCAATGTGGAAATCATTTATGCCGTTTGTCAAGAGCCGCTCTCTCCCTTGCAGTGACGATCAGTCTTAATTTCCTTTTTGGCAATGACCACTCGCAGGCTCATGGAGTAAAGTCATGGCTGTTCATCATTTCTGTTGCCAGACCTCCCAGGAGGTCCAGACAGGACCCGAGCCCTCCTGTTAGGCACCGTGCCAAGGCTGAGCAGAGTGACATGCCTGTCCCCAAAACCTTGCATGCTTAGTGTGCGGTGAAGATCGGCACGTGGATATAGGTGGGCTGCAGGGAATCAAAGGGCTGCGATCGGCTCAGCACCGTAACCTTTATTAAGTGGGCTGCAGGTCTCGCACTGAAGGAAGGGAGCTTTGAAGGGCGATAAAGTTGCTGCTTTGCAGATGTGTGTTCATACCAGAACTCTCTTAATGAACTTTCATCTTTTGCCTCAAAACCATCTGGTTTTAATGCATGGAGATGGCACGTGGTTATGGGGGTCCCTATTGTAGAGTTCTGAAGAAGTCAAAAGGCCACCGAGGTTCTGCATATGAAGCCCTCGGGGTATTGATACCAAATTTTGCTGATTCACCAAGAGGACGCGAGGAGAAAGCCTGCCAGCACACAAGCACACAGATTTTTTTCAAGACGTTGTGCATTGCTGATAATTACACTGAGGAGGAGGTGGTTTAACTGAAACATCCGCAAATTCTTTATTTCCCCCTTTTCCCTCATGTATTTCATGTACAGGACTGTGAAATAGCAGCATGTCCTCCCCATCCAAATAGTCCCGAAGCCAAGAGATCCATATCAGGCATTCACAGGACACAGTGGAGATTTGGATCCTGGACACCAGTAAGTGTGTGTTGTAATACTTTGAGGATTATTGTACAGTAGACAATGTGATATTTTTAAATGTATTTGACCAGCTTTTTATTCCAAAACCCTTGTAATATATATCAGGAAACTTTCTAGTGGAGTGCTTGTGCTCTTCCCTAGTGCTCCGCGACGTGTGGGAAGGGTACCCGGATGAGATACGTCAGCTGTCGGGATGATCAGGGCTCGGTGGCTGATGAGTCAGCTTGTTTCCACCTCCCGAAGCCATCAGCCACGGAAATGTGCACCGTGATGCCATGTGGGCAGTGGAAGGCCTTGGAGTGGAGCTCCGTAAGCATCACATCCTGTCTCTTGCAGGAGAGTCTTATAGACGTCGTTGCTGGAAATGTGTTTCGTTAATCTGTCATGCTCGCCCTTTTATAAGTGGGGAGATTAAGGTTTTTCTGCTGTTCATTATTAGCAATAGCTGTATCTCTGATTTTCAAAGCTGGAAATGTGACTGTGTCTCCTTTTCCCACTGTAACACAGTGCTCGGTGACTTGTGGTCAAGGTAAGGCAACGCGACAAGTGATCTGCATCAATTACAGTGACCAGCTGGTGGATAGGAGTGAGTGCGATCCAGACGACCTCCCTGCCACCGAGCAAGACTGCTCCATGTCTCCTTGTCATCCAAACAGCCATGACTACGGCAGGCCCATCCACCCTTTCCTCTATCCGGATCATCGCCTGAAACTGCACCCCGGAGGCAGCCCGAACCGAAACCGTGCGCATATACCAGGAGGCAATCAGTGGAGGATTGGCCCCTGGGGTGCTGTAAGTGCCCTGATTTTTTTATTGCTGTTTATTTTTGTTTTCCTGGGCTAATGCAGGCTTTTCTTAATGTCACCACGCAGGGAAAGGAGGGTTCCCTGCTCCCTGCTCACACCAGCAAGTGTTGCAGTGGGGTGTAGCATCACTTCTCGGCCTCTCACACCTCCTGTCTCCAAGGGTCTCCAGGCAGAAAGCTAATGGCATCATTTTCCATGAGGGAAAGGCCAGTCTCTGCTTCTTGGCCGTCTCCCGGGACTTTTACAGCTGTGCAGAGCTGTTGCCAAAGCCAGCCTTAATGCCAGCTCCTCTCACCCCGACCAGTTTTATCATGGAAGTCCCTAAAGGGAATTAAGCTCAAATGGGATGTCAAACACTTCATTAAAGGCAGCGGGGATTACTCACCTGCTTAAAACTAGGCTCATGTTTATTTTCTTTGCTTAGTCAGCACCTAAGTCATTGCACTGCTATTAGTAATAGCTGGGTTTTGAAGTTGATAATGCCTCTTAGCTGTATTAAATTTCTTAGCTGTGCATTCCCACGGTGCAAGGCACTGGCAAGGAGCTGGGAATGCAAAATTATTCCTGGACTCAACGAAGCCGTGGGCAATTGTGTCTTCCAGTGCTCTAGCACGTGTGCGGGGGGGTTCCAGCGGCGGGTCGTGGTGTGCCAGGATGAAAACGGATACACCGCAAATAACTGTGATGAGAAAAGCAAACCCATAGAGCAGAGATCGTGTGAATCTGGCCCCTGTCCTCAGTGGGCTTATGGCAACTGGGGAGAGGTGAGTGGACCGTTCGTCCTGGGCTCCCTGCGCAGGGCAAAGCTTTCGTTAGCGCGTGGTTGAAAAATGGGAGAAGAGTGGGATATTGTGGTGACATTTATTAGAAAGGTCGGAGCATGGAAGGCACCCTTTGATAAATGAGTGAACCCTAGCAACTGCTTCGTGGTGTTTTCCTTTCCATTTGTCATGGGAAAATTTTCTTGCCAGGCAAAGGCAAATTCTACAAAAATTGAGTTTTGTTATTTTTGCTTTTTAAGAGCAGTCTAGTTTAACCGAAGGCCTTTTTTCCTAATAAAAACACTGCTCCATTCTGAAAATTCATCTGCAACAAACAATTAAGAGATGTTAACCTCCAGTATCGTGTTGAGTCTGGCAGTATCATTGTGGAGCAGCACAAACGGCTTTGGGAAGAGAGAACTGAAGCAGCTGATGCCCCATCTCATACAGCGTTTGGCGGGGGGGATCTGGCTGGAGTGGGTTGGTTGGGAACAGAAACAACCGTCGGGTCTCAAGAGGTGCTAGTGCTTCGAGTGACCGGTCGGCAGTATTTTTGCTGCCCAAACGATGATTCCTCTGTCCTCTGCTGACTTCCAGTGCACAAAGCCATGCGGGGCAGGGACAAGAACGCGGCTGGTGGTGTGCCAGCGCCCTAATGGAGAAAGGTTTACGGATCTGAGCTGTGAAATCCTTGATAAGCCACCGGACAGAGAGCAGTGCAATGTGCAGGACTGTCCTAGAGATGCTGCCTGGAGCGCTGGTCCTTGGAGCTCGGTACGACCATAAACTCTTTCTCTTTGTGAACCGTTTTGTGGATATCCCGTAACAACAGATTTAATTTGCTTCAAACCAAGGTGCTAATGCTTCATGTCTTAAAACTGCACTTAAAGAGGATTATTGACAATATATTCAGAATAACACCTGTTCAGGAAGGGCTTACAATTAGGGGAGCTAGGGTCCTTTAATTTAAAAGGCACTTTCTGCTAAGTAGCCACCTTTTGTCCGTTTTATTACTGTCTGCAAGCGCTGTGCATTATGAGTCTTGGTTGTGAGCGAGTGCTTTGCATGTGGATTTAAACCTGGCATTTAAGCAGTACATTTCCATTGAAGTTAAGTTGTTCTGATATTTAATGGTAATACTGCACTGTGCACCTACTGGTTTACCAGTCAGATGTTCTCTGCCAAAAGCAAGATGACAGAGGAAAATGTGTCCTAAATTGCATCAATTCCCAAACATGTACAAGTGTGTATAGATGTGTGTGTGTGTCCCTACCTGCCGCCACACACAGCTATGTAGAAACACGTGTGCATTCACACCTGTGCTCTATTTCTGTTCCTGTATATATGTGTGATGTACTGTGCAAAGGCACCTGTGAGCTATTCTCCTGCATCTCTCTGGTTCTGGAGAGTTATTGTCTGGCCTGATCTCCAGCTGCTGCTCTAGATATCATTAAGTCAGTAAGGGATCAGCAAGATGGTGGAAGGCTTAAAACCCTTGGAGTTTTCTAATAACAAAATAGTATTTGGAGCAGAGGTGTCTTACACTGCTCCTCTGCCGCTGGAGGACTCTGCTACAGAGATGCTCTTGCGATGGCAGAGCAGCCCTGAACCAGAGGGTGCAGGGATGCTATTTTGGGTCCCACAGCTTTGAAATTCCCCCTGGCCAGAGCAGCACCTTCTGCTTGGCGCGGAGCCCCGGTGTGCAGCACGGGGCTGAGCCCTGAGCCAAGGCGTGTGCCGCCTGGGGCACTTCTGGCACGCTGGAAACCATGGACCTGCCAGTTTTGGAGTGGCCTTCAAACAAATGTCAACCGTTATTGTGTATTTTGTTATAAAAGCATTTGAAGAAGATTTAAAAAAAAAATTAATTTGATTCAAAAGCACTTTATGGGGGGAAAAAAAAGGCCTGTTTGTAATGTATTGGACTTCCTTAATTGTCATGGTTTGAAAAGTTGTCTTGCTAAACCGTAACCGCACTCTTGTTTCTGTGGGTGCTTTCAGTAGCAAGGATGCCTTCAGTAATGCTCCTCGATATTTTTACCATACCTCAGTGAGTTATGCAATAGCCATAAAACTGCTGAACTGGTGTTTATACGGTGCTTCACCAGTACAAGGGACAGTGATATGAAATATTTCATTTGAGGTGCTAATGTATCACTTGTATGCTGATATAGTTGGTGCTAAAAATGAGGGAGGTGAGCTAAGCAGAGCTAGCAACGCATGCAGTGGCTTCCCCGCAGAATTACGGCTGGGAGTTGCTGCCAACCTTTGCTACCTGTGCCGGACCATTTGCAAGAACCAAAGGTGTGGACAAAGTTGTGTTGCATTTTGGTGTCACTCAGCATTCAGCCTCTTCACGGCTGTTTGGGAGCAGGCTCCAGGGCTGCGTCTGCTCCTCTGTGTTGGAAATGCAGGTTGCAGTCCTGTATTTTGGTTTTGAGTGTTTTGGGTTTTTTTTTTTCCCCACCCAGGAAAAATTTCTTTGACTCTACTAAGTCATATTAACCTTGGTGGGTTATCCCTTGCTCGGTCTCCTGGGAGAGGGTGGGATGTCGGGCAAACAGGCAGAGGGCAGGGGCATCCCACCCTGCCTGCAGCATCTCCTCCCGGCTGCCCGCAGGGCTCGCAGCCCCCTGGCCTCCCGCGGGTGAAGGGGCTGCAGAGCCCCAGTCATCGCCACAAAGCATCTTGATTTTTCAGTCTTTTTACCGAGGTGTCCTTTCACTCTGACGTAGGGGACCCCAGAGCTGTTTGAAGACTGAATTGTATCTATGGGGTCAACAGGGCTTCGTGTCCCTCCTGCAAAATACTCCCCATATATGTCTACCTCGTGCTACTACTGTAGGTAGTAACGTCCAAATTTTTTTTTCGTTAGTGTGGTATCACCTGGATTTGCTTTAGCTCTGTCATCGGTTGCAAACACCATTCTGTAGCTGTACATACTTCATCTCTTGGGATGGAGTGTCACTACCATATATTTTGGTCACTTTTGAAACAAGAGTATAGTATTAGCTGAAACTTTTCAGCAGTATGGATTTATGTATTTATGTAAAAGTGTATTTATTTTTCCAATATTGTTATTTAATTTTATATAAATATTGCATACATTTACGATGTTTAATGTTAATGTTGAACAGTGAAAATTAAAGACAAGTAGAATGTAATCATAAATGAATTTGTATAATGATTTCTTGAGTCTTTTGCTAAACTAAGATCATATACTTAGTTTTGGTAACTTTCACTAAATTTTCTGAAATGGTACTGCAATGTTCCATCTTTTGACTTGCTTTTATTTTACTTGCTTTGTTCTCCAACAGAAACTGTCATTCTTGATCATTAAACAAACACAGTTAAAAGTGTATGAATTACAAAGTTTGGATAACTAATTTCTTGCAAAGCATCTGATTGGCTTAGCTTCACTCAAGCTTCAGTGGAATTAGTACTATAAAATACATACAATTTAAAGCAGAGAGAGTCTGAAGAGTTCAACCCTTAGTCCTCAGGGGAAATTCCGCTGGGATTTTATACAGTAAACGAGTGACTATCTGACTGGTTAGATCCAGGTTTTAAAGAGATAATTACATGAATAAACAGATTCTGTAAGTAAATGATAATTTTATAACAGGAGACTGGTGAGATGCCTTGTCATTATAATGTCTGTTCAAAGAGGACTAAGAGGAGGTGACACTTTTATTTCCTTGCTTATTTAAGAACATGTATTTAAACACTGCAGAATTGTACGCCGTATAATAGACCTGACCTTTTCATTAAAATAATGCTTTACAAAACATGCAGAGACTGTCACCAGGATACAGAGAGTGTTTTTTCTCTTCTGAATGCCTCATGGTATGAACACAGATCTCCATACATGCTCTCGAATACCAAGAGGAAATCTCACCATGTTCTCCAGAACAAGGGAGATGCTCCCAGAGAGTTTTATCCATTGCTTCGCTTAGAACCCGAGGCTGAACCCACTTCTCTTGGAGCAGATCCGCTCCTTGCAAAAATCTCCATGAAATTTTGGTCCCGTAGAGTTTACCATAATATCCAGCTGTATCCTGACGCAATTTATGAATAATGCTGAATTTGCTTGTCGTGAGCTTCTCATTCTTTCCGAGTTAGGAAACGGGCACAGATAAGGTAAAACAATTATATCTCACAGCACCGTGTCCTGGTTCAGTGGGGTGAGTCATTTGGGCTTCACTGCCCTGGGACAGTAATCATTTGACTTTGACCTGTGGAAAATGGGTGGGTGGGTTTTTGGATGTGTGTTTTGCGGGGGATTTTTTGTTGTGTTTTTTTCCCTGAAAAAGTATTACAATTTTAAAAGTAATGTGCTTTGCCAAATGCTTTTCGCTCTTGGGTATCAAAAGTTCTAGCTGCTAATGGAATGGCTGTGTAGCTCTTAGTGCCTGCAAAACAGTGGTGTGTGCTTCCCAGCTCTTCATCAAATGGGCAGAAATGCTGCTGACTTAGTCTTTGAAGACCCTTTGTTCTAACAAGGAAGAATTGGAAGCATAGCCTAAAATAATTAGAATATTATCTGTCTAAGTTCCAAACTCTGTTATTATCGATATGGATTCAGGTTTGGGTTAGGAGGACGATGCCGTATCCCTGTAGCCAGAGCTGGAAGCTGCTGGCATTGATGGCTTTGCAGGGCTCTTCGGCTGTGCGCAGGGATGCAGGTAGTGGTGAAGGGGCTCTGGACTCGGTGGGAAATGGGAGGACTCCCCAGCCAACATCCGTGTCAGGGAGCTGGCACTCAGGAATTTTAATCTTAAAATTGGTGTCAATGGAAAATCAGGTTTTTTGTATTTAATTCTGTCAAAGCCCCAACACGTTGTTTATAAAATGCCCTCCCCATGAAGCTGGCTGAAAATAGGCTGTTGAACAGCAATATTCTCCCTGTTGTTGTTCTGATAATACTCTTAGCAGGCGGGATGTCAGCTCTTGCTAAGGCAGAAGTGATAACCAGGGGCAGATTTGGTTGCAAGTATATATAACTCTGGTGTTCTCTTCCTCTCTTCTGCGGCAAATGAATTTGCTGTGACAGCAGCATTACTGAGCTGCTGTATGATTCTTTACACATGTTTTTGCAATAACAAAGCCGTCCTTGAAAAGGAAGGGATAGGCACGCTGAACTCCGCAGTCACTCAGTGATTCATGTTGCCTTTTCTGTCCTTCATTCATATGTTGTTGGTTCAGGCTCTGAGACTGCGACAGCAAGTCTCTCTTTCTCTGTAGTGCTAGGTATTATCAGAAAACTAATAAAAACAATCCTACCCCGAGAGCCTGTGGGGAAGGACAAATGTTGCCGCAGCAGAGGAAGGCTGCACGCGCGGTCCCAGCAGCCGTAACCCAGGCAGAGAGATGCACCGGGTGGCTTGCGTGCCTTTAGGAAAACAGATAGAAATAGATGCCTCAGTGAAGATTTAATAAAGCGGATCCAGATCAAAATGAGAACTTGGTAGCCTATGGATATCTCCAGCCATCTGTCTGAAGCTGTCTCTGTCTCAGAGCTGTTGACTCTACACTTAGGCTGGCCCACCGAGGCTGATGTCTCTCTCGGGTTCCTGGCTGCCCCCCCTCTAGGATCAGTCAGACCGGCTGACTCCAGGGACTGCCGGTTCGGTGTGCTGATGAAAGGCAAGAAGTTGTCTGCTGTGGTTCCCCAGTCAGAAAAAGGTCTTTGACCTTTTCTGGTGCTGACCTCTGCTTTTGTTTAAAAAAGCAAACCAGACCCATTTCAGCCCTTCCCTGTACTCCCTGCTGTG